ATTATCCGCGCATCGCGCGGGTTCTAACACTAGTATAAATTAATTAACGAAGCAAGAAAATAGTATTAAACAGAGCACCTACTTTATTTGCTAGGCCTGTGAGTGAGTAAATTTGTCGAAAACTATCACTTTTTCTTTCAGAAAGATCTTATATACAGATCAAGATAAAGGAGTTGTTAATGGCTATTATACAAGATATTAGAGTTAATGTAATAATTAGAGGAGGATCACCAAAATCTACAAAGATTTATGTCAATAAAATTTATAGCTTGCCTCTAAGAAAAAACCCAAAAAGACAGTTTGACTATATTACTAGCAAGATTAACATAATCTAAGTTCTTTGAAAGAACAAAGCTCGAGGGATGATTGATGAAAAAAATAGTTTAGGAGGGAAATGAGGTTCACTAGGCAAAGTTAAAGGGGCAAGTGAATTTACCCAAATTTTTATAATCTATGGTCAGAGTGTCTTTTTGAATATCACTTAGAATTGAACAGAGCTTAATTAACAGAAATCGTCTGTAGATTCAATTAAATTTACTGGTAATCTATGGCCAGATTATCTTTGGATTATGTATTAAGAAGAGAACATTCAGCATTCATTGACCAGAAATCTTCCCTGGATTTGGTTAATTCTGCTTTAATAATTTTATGATTTAATATCACATATAATACCCATTTTAAAACTCGTCTACTCCTCTATATAACATTTTCCTCTTCGCAGGAAAAATGATAGATGCTCAAAAACTTCAAATCTCGTACATCTAGTAAATCAAGTAAGTTCAATTAATTAATTTTGTTTATTAAATATTACTAGTTTTTTGTATCTATAAATATTAAGCATTCATGCCCATAGAGATAATTTTAACGGACTCAGGCTATGTTGATTCGTCAAAGAATTGTTCAAGTTCAACAAACTCTGCTAGTGTTATATTTTCTTTTGAGTTATAACGGAGTTCAAGGAGAAAAAAAAGCTATCCAAACTAGAGGATTCAGATTTGGAGAAGCAACTTAAACTTTTGAACAAGTGTATGTATGTTGGCTGAAAGTCAATGTATTCTCAAGTGTTTTGAGTGATTATTTTCTTAGTGTGCCGACATTACTTTTGTAGAAAAAATATACATATTCCTCAATTCCATATTTTTGTACCTGAAGATTACTTATTTTACGATGTTTTGGGTCACAGAAAAAATATGGGGATACATATGATTGCGTGAATTTCTATAAACAACCTGCATTTGATCATCCGTTGTTACAGAATCACGATATTCATCCTAAGGTATGTTTACTCTTTTCATTTTACTTTCAACTATTTAATAATAATTTAGAATTGTTGATAACACATATTTAAGTTTTTGATTGACAGATAAAATCTACTTTAGCTAGCACACTACAAAATTCAGATATGTCAGCAGCTCATGAAGCTAATGAGTCATCAGGGATATGGTTAAAGGAAAGAGGTTGTCCTTTCGAAACTGTTCCTATTAAAAGAATTACCAAAGATGGTCTTATTAGACAAAGACATATTCCGCCACCAGAAGCTATCGCATATGAAGCTCCATTGAGTAATGTAAGATAATGTGACCCAAATCATTGCCTATCTTGATAATTCATTTCCAGAAAAAAAGAATCACTGATTTCATTTTGTTAGAATCTAATAGTTTAAGCATCAATATAATTGTAACAAGAAAAAGGGGTTCATGTGAAAAAAAAAATGTTAAGTCTTCCATCATCGTAGCATATCATATATATTCTGTTGGTTTAATGCAGAGTAACAACAATAGTGAGCCAAAGAGAATTTCCATATCCTCACAGGGATACAAGGTAAATAAATATGAATATTTATCATCTTCTCATTTTTCAGTTTTGTAAGTTGATTAAAAAATTTCATTTATTATATTCAGCTCGCAATAGTTCAAATTCCAAATAACCCAAATAATAAGTTTGCGGGTGCTGGAATGTTAGCTAGTTTATGGAATCCTCGTATTGAAAGTCAACGGCACACTGCATGTCGGCTGAAAATCCAGAAAGGATCAAACAGTTTACAAGCTGGGTGGAGAGTAAGTTTAACAACTTGTTCATTTATAATTTAATTGTTTTTGTTTATTTGTGATAGCTTGTTTTCTTTTTATTTTCTAGGAGATGAGATTAACTATTGACCTTTAGGATGTAAGTTAGAACCTATAACATGAGCTCCCATTCAACCATGATAAATCTATTTTATGTTTCAGGTGGATCCAACACTATACTATACGGGGACAATAAGACTAGATTTTTTGTACATTTTCAGGTAATTTGTGTACTTTAATGATTTTTGTTTTGTGATCATGAAAGTAGTACATATTTCTAGCTAAATAATACCTTGATTGAGAAGCGTTAATGCATATTTTACATTTACTAGGTTGGTAATACACATTGCTTCAACACGCTATGCCCTGGATTTGTCATTGTAAGTAGTAAGTACCATGTTGATGGGGTCTTTGATCCAGTTACACAACGTGGAGATAAAAGAGTATTGGAGATCCCAATGTTCATCGAACGAGTATGTTTTTTCTTCTTTTGCAGAATTATTTTCAAGATTTGAGTTGGTTTTCGTATTTACAATTGCATTGATTAGAATTGAAAGTTACAAATTAGTAATATTAGACATTTCTTTCTTAAAAGGATCTAGCCAATGGAAACTGGTGGCTTTTGTTTGGTGAAAGCAACGAACAAGTTGGTTTTTGGCCTCAAAGGCTTTTCAGCAACTTGGCAAGCTTTGCTACTAGTGTTGAACGAGTAGCATATAGTCCGCCAGGCGTGTCTGAACCTCCAATGGGCTCCAGCTATTTTCCTATTGGAGATCCAAATTACGATGCTTATTGTAGGAGACTTAATGTTTTAAATGGTAAAGGTGAGATAGTACATATAGACAAAACGACTGTACGTGTTGATGATTCTGATTGGTATGGTGTTATGGATGTATCACATTGGAGAGGTGGAAAGTATCAGCATATGGCATTTTATGGAGGACCTGGTGGGTTCGAGACATTATGTTAATTACTACTATGATGATATTAATTACTTTCCATGTCCAAGGAAATATGAAATTTTTGTTTGTCATAAATTTTGCACGTCGCGTGCTCTGACTTCTCCTTTAATCGTTTTGTTGGTTTTTGTTTAGTGTTAGCAAACAATCATGAAAAAGAACTTTCGTTCGCCAAGGAGCTTTTATTTTAATCAAGATTTTATTCTATTAGAAATAGGGTGAAAAATGTTTCCCCCCTCTAATTTCATCTAAAAATCAAATTCACGTACCAACTTGAAGGAGCATAATTGCCTGTGCATTTCTAGCCTTTTCTTTATAAACAAGACTTTGTTTTCACTACTGAAGGACACAAATAAGCAGAAAGGAGTTTGACAGGATGTAATAAGTATATACTAGGAAACCATCATCGAACAGAAATAGAACATCTTCAACACTCCGCAAAGGCATCTGCTGTTATTTAGAATGCCATTGCAGAGTGTTGAAGATGTCCTATTTCTGTTTGGTGATGGCTTTCATGGATTAAATTGTTTTCAAATAAAAAAACTATCTAAACATGAAATGAAACAGAAGATACAGATCCCTACAACTAAAGGCAGAGTTCAGTACCTACTATGCGGTTGTCATTCCTTCATGTTGGGGTTGGATGCAACTATGTTGTACCGGGTTCATCTTAGCCCATAACTTTAAATATATTATGTGTTCAATGCTCTAAGAACCACAAATGTTGAACTCATAGAGTTTAAATCCTAAATCCGCGTATGTTCGTGTCTTCTGCTCCTTCTTGTTCTAACTCCATAACTGCTCTTAAAAGACCATTTGTGATTGCATTTAGATGAAACCCATTCTCCTTCGCGTCCTCTAGCAGTTTCTCTGTTGTCCAATTTAAAACCTTCACGAATAGAGATTGAATAAGTTTATTATATTTATCAGCATTAGGCTCCATCTCTCTTAATAGTTTCAGAGGCTTATCAATCTGTTCTAGCTTGCATAATTGTGTGATAAGTGATAGGACTTAGCTTCTTTTTGGCTTCATCAAAAATCATACAAGCCTCCTCCATCTAATCCCACTTCGCGTAACCACTCATAATTGCACTGTAAGTATATACATTAGGTTTCAAACCTCTATCCTCTATTACCTTCAATATTTTACTCATTTCTCCCAATTCTCCACTGTTAGAGAGTGCACTGATAATTGTATTGAAGACTGCATTGCCAGGTGGTGGTCCTGTGTCTATCATATTTGAGAGCAAGTTTTTGGCATCTTTGATTTCTTCGCTGCAACAGGAGCAATATGGGCCACTGCAAGAGGAGTGCAACTGTTTTTCCCTTGTTGCATATTTTGCCCACCACAACCCAACAAAGACCCAATTGTCACTCACTAGAGAAGGCAAGAACGCTGGAGTCTCAATCGAATGATGTCTCTTCTTGTGAAATTCCTAGTAATTCTTAGCCTGATATTGGGAAAATCACATTGCCATTACTCAAACAAGCAAGTAACATATAGCAACACAAAATCTAAAGAGAGGCAATAGAAAGCAGAGGTGGTAGTACCGAGCTTCAGCCAATAGACGACCACCGTCGATTTGTGTCAACAACAGTAGAGGTGGCAAATATATTGCTTTTAGCCTCTATTGTTGGAGGCGATACATGGAAGAATCTTTCTCAGAGAAATGGACATGAAGAAAGAACATCTGTGGGATCAGAAAAAAATAAGAAAACAAATAAATATTGCTCAGTTGTTTTAGGCATTTCGTCAAACACATTGACTACATCTTTGTGCTTAGCGGAGTTTTCCTGCAAGCGGTTGAAAAAAAAACTACACCCATGTACACGACCCACAATGAAACATGATCACATGAAGAAAGTCAACAATATTAAATTAACTATGCTCAAAGAATCTAAAATCATACGTTGAAATGAAGAAGCCAAAAGAAAAAGGCATAAAATACAGAGAACTTCAAGTAGACTGAAATTTTTTAAATCAGTACTCTTTAAAAGTAGAATGAGAAATTCACATTCCTACAAATTTGTGTCTCCCCAGCAGAAACACAACACAAATTGAAGAGAGGCACAAAGCAATCAAATGACAAGTGGAATAGTGGGTCCCACAACAAATCTAATTACTATCTCCGTTTCAATTTAGATGAGTTAGTTTGACTCAGTACGGAGTTTAAGAAAAAGAAAAAGACTTTTAAAATTTGTGATCTTAAAAGTTTAAGAGGTAAAAGCTTTATGGGCCAATGGCATTTGCGTCGTTTTAAAAGCTTTCATTAAGTGTAAAATGGGCATAATGAAGAGTTTAAAGTTGAATTATTTCCAAAATTTAGAAATATGTCATTTATTTTGTAATAGACTAAAAAGGAAAGCACCTCATCTAATTTGAAACGAAGGGAGTAGTACTTATATGAGATCCTCTAAAACATGACAAGTAGAATGGCGGGTCCCACTACAATTAGCTGTCACGACCCAAAACTAACCCCTGTCGTGATGGCGCCTGTCGTGGAACTAGGCAAGCTGACTCATTTCCAAACCAAACCGATATTTTCATTTTAAAGATAATTTCAAGGTTATTTGACATAAAACCTCCATTAAAAGNCAAACCCTCTTGCCACTCGGGCAAACCTCACAGTCACTCATGCCACTCGGGCATACCTCACAAACTCTCTTGCCACTCGGGCATACCTCACAGTCACTCGTGCCTCCCGGTCACTCAGCACTCGGCACTCGCACTCAGTAGGTACCTGCGCTCATTGGGGGTGTGTATAGACTTCGGAAGGGCTCCTTCAGTCCAAGCGCTATAATCTGTACGGACAACTCACGTGCGATAATAATAAAGTATGCTGCAGGCGGGCAGCCCCAATCCACACTCATCCTCACCAATCAGGCCCTCGGCCTCACTCAGTCATAATTATGCTGCAGGCGGGCAACCCCGATCCACACTCATCCTCACAAAACAGGCCCTCGGCCTCACTCAATCATAAAGTATGCTGCAGTCGGGCAGCCCCGATCCACACTCATCCTCACAAATCAAGCCACTCAGGCATTTCAGTAAAACAGGGCATTCGGCCCAAAACATTTATATGCATCAAAATAAAGTCATAAAACTGAGTTATGCGGTAAACAAGTATAAACATGACTGAGTATAGAATTTTCAATCAACAACAGTGAGAGGATGGTAAGAAATAACCCCTAAGGGTCCAAACAGTATTGGCGCAAGGCCCAAACATGGCATTCAGCCCAATTTACAGAAAATCTTTCTAAAACATATAAGTATCAATGGTTTCAACAAAGTATGCAACTTTACAGTTGCTACGGGACAGACCAAGTCACAAATCCCCAACAGTGCATGCCCACACGCCCGTCACCTAGCATGTGCGTCACTTCAAAATAATAGAATGATACGAAATCCGGGGTTTCATACCCTCAGGACCAGATTTACAATCGTTACTTACCTCAAACCGGTCAAATCTCTAACCTCGCAATGATCTTGCCTCTGGACTCGGTCTCCAATTGCTCCGAATCTATTCACAATTAGTACAATACCATCAATACGCGCTAATGGAATGAATTCCACAAGAAAAACTACAAAATTAGACCAAAACCCGAAATTAGCTCAAACCCGGCCCCCGGGCCCACGTCTCGAGATCCGACCAAATTTACAAAACTAGAAAGCTCATTCACTCACAAGTCTAACCATACCAAATTCATTAAAATCCGACATCGTTTGGTCCTTCAAATCCTTAAATTATTTTCCAAATATTTCAAGCCCTAACCCCTCATTTTCACTAATTACTATGATTAAAACAACGAAAAATCACAAGTATACAAGTATAGGGCTCAAGTAACTTACCTCAACGAAATCCCCTTGATTCCCTCTTCAAATCTCTACCAAAAGCTCCAAAAGCCGAGTTGAAATTGTGAAGAATGACCAAAATTCACGAAGGGTTCTAATTATGGTTTCTGCCCAGGTTTTTCGCACCTGCGGCCATTTTCTCGCACCCGCGCGACCACACCTGTGGTCTAAGAAGCCGCACCTGTGCAACTCACTTAATCACCCAGCTTCCGCACCTGCGGACACCTTCCTCGCACATGCGGACTCGCATCTGCGGTCCCAGGTGCGCATCTGCGAAACTAGCCCAAACTCCTCATCTCCGCATCTGCGCTCAAGGCCTCGCACATGCGGGCTCGCAGATGCGGCCAATTCTTCGCACCTGCGTTCCCAGCCTTGGCCCAGCATCGCCCGCACCTGCTCACTACCCACTCACACCTGCGAGGATTTCTTCTGCAGGTGCAGAAATAGCAGAAGCAATAGCTCCAGCTGCAAAGTCCAACTTCGACAAATCCGTTAACCGCCCGGAATCACCCCGAGGCCCTCGGGACCTCAACCAAAAATACCAACAAGTCATATATTAGCATACAAACTTAGTCGAACCTTCGAATCACTCAAAAAAACATCCAAACACCAAATTACCCTCGGATTCAAGCCTAAGAACTTCTAAATTTCCAAATTTGGCAACCGATGCCGAAACCAACCAAACCACGTCCGAATGACCTCAAATTTTGCACACACGTCACAAATGACACTATGAACCTACTCCAACTTCCGGAATTCCATTCCGACCCCTATATCAAATTTTCCACTGCCAACCGAAATTGCCAAATTTCCAATTTCGCCAATTCAAGCCTAATTCTACCACGGACCTCCAAATTACATTCCGGTCGGGCTCCTAAGTCCAAAATCACCTAACGAAGCTAATGGAACCATCAGAATTCCAATCCGAGGTCAAATGCTAAAGAGTCAAATTTTGGTCAGCTCTCCCAAATCTAAAGCTTCAACAATGAAATTCTTTCTTTCAATTCGATTCCAAAATACCTGCAACCCAAAACCGATGATTCACACAAGTCAAAGTACATCATACGGAGCTACTCATGCCCTCAAACAACTGAGNACCTGCAACCCAAAACCGATGATTCACACAAGTCAAAGTACATCATACGGAGCTAGTCATGA